GGAAGTTACTGCCTGTTTCATTGGCATAATGACAGTGAATACTGATAACATGAATAGTTTTGCCAGTATCGGCACCAGTTTTGGGCCATTGTGTAGGTTGGGACCTTCTGAAAGATTGACCTTGAAACACTCCATCCTGCATGTTATAATTTAGGCAGTTCCAAAACCTCGGCCAGGAAAATAATCCTCTAACACCAATATAGTTACATAATTCTGGATCTCTTGTCGATCTAGCATGGTCTCTCCATTGAACACATCACAAGATGACGATGTTACATCTGTCTGTGCTGGATCTTCTAGTTATGAGTGAGCCATTCCTTGTATGATATTTGAACCATATAATCTCTCTCAGCCTCAAATTGCTTTAACATATAAAACTCTCCCTCCATTTCAGTTTCACTGTATCTGCAGGGTCTCTATAGATCTCTTCTTTGGATATAAAATAAAATTGGGATTATATCAATCGCTATAAGGGGGTTGTGGGGGGGATAAATCCAATACTGGATTGTTAGACTTCAGCAAAGAAATGTAAAATCATTAAATTATTAACGAGCAGAGAATAATAATTCATTCACTCAGTGGAGTAGAGTTCCATGTAACACTTTAAATCTTAAGTATTAAAGAATATAAGTATGGATGCTTGGAGGGTTGACTGAGTCGTCATTATCTCATATACTGATTGTTATGGATTCATGGCATTGAGCTAGTATGAATCAGACATCTCATAAATTTTATGTATGAAACTGTTAGACTAATTCAAAAAGAATAAAATTAAATTGCAAATGCTGGAAATACGGTCTTAGTTGAAGTTGTACAACAAGCTAATGAGCCTCAATGAAGGAAACAAACACTTTAGGTGGTTCCCATTTTAGAATAGTTATCTGTCACTTCATCAAGGCTTCTGATAAAGTCCCACATTGGAGACTGATAACGAAGGCAACAACCCGTGGAATCCAAGGAAATTTGGCTAATTTGATCCAGAATTAGCTGAGTGGCAGGAAGCAATGGGTGATGGTCATGGATTGTTATTGTGACTGGAAGCCTGTGTCCATTTGGGTTCTACAGGAATCAATATGGGGTCCTTACTTATTGTATACATAAACAATTCAGAGTTGCATGTAAGAGGGTTGATCTGTAAACTTGCAGACAATACTAAAATTGGTGCGGTTTTAAGTAGTGAGGAGGATAACCTTAGATTGCAGGAGGATATAGACGGGATTGTCAGATAGAAGGGCTGATCAGTGGCAAATGGAATTCAATCCAGATAAGTGTGAGATGACGCACTTGGGTAGGACCAACAAGGCAAACGAATACATCATGAATGGTAGGTTCCTGGGAAGCACTGAGGATCAGAGGGACCTTATTTGCACTGGTCCTTTAAGGTAGTGTAGCAGTAGATAATGTGGTTAAGAAGGCATATTGGATACTTGCCTTTATTAGTTGAGGCACTGAGTTTAAGTGTAGGGAGTTTATGCTGGAACCGTACAAAACATTGATTATGCCACAGCTGGAGTAATTGGGTGCAATTCTAGAAACCACATTAAAGGAGGGATGTGATTGCACTGAAGAGGCTGCAAAGGAGTTCCACTTGAATGTTGCCTGTCTTGTAGAATTTTGGTTACGAAGAGAGATTGGATAGATAGGGATTGTTTCCTTGGAGCAGGGGTGATATTATTGAAATGTTTGAAATTATGAAAGGCATAGGCAGGAAGGAACTTTTCCCTTTAGAGGGATCAATGACCAGAGGCGCAGATCTAAGGGAAAGGGCAGGAGGTTTGCAAGGGATGTAGGAACGTTTTTTTCACCCAGAGGGTGGTGGGAAACTGGAACTCACTTCCTGTAAGGGTGGTAGAGGTGGAAACATTTGTAACTTTTAAAAAGTATTTAGTTGTGCACTAGATGATGTGATGCTAAGGCATACAAGGCAATGGGCCAAGTGCTGGAAAATTGACTTTGAATAGTTGTTTTTGACTTCTGCAGACTCGATAGGCCAAAGGACCTTTTTCTGAGTGGTAGACCTCTATGACTGTGTAACTCTAAATGAAGTAATTGGTGCCCTTCAAATACACTAAGTAAAGATGGATTTTTATTTATACTACAAATGCTTGTGAGACTGGCAAGTTAGTATTTATGTCTATAATTGGTTGTTCTGAGGAGGCAGTGTTACATTGTCTAAAACTGTTAAACCACTGATAATACACCCAAAATAACATTAGATAGGGAATTCCAGCAGATTGACCCAATGATGTTGCAGGACTGACGAGATGTGTCTGAGTCAGGTGGGAACCCGAAGGTATTCAATTATATTCTTGTCCTTATTTGTTGAAGGTAAGAAAGGGAGATGCTGTTGAAGTAACCTTAATTCGTTGCTGCAACCTGTCCTAAAACTACTTTGGTCAGAGTACTGAATGTTTGTTTGTTTGTTTCGGGTGAACAAGGAATTGCTGCATTAGCATGGATACTGTGGAAGCAGGCCATTCAGCCCTTCGAGTCCACACTGACCCTCCAAAGAGCATCCCACCCAGACCCATCCCCCTACTCTGTCCCTGTAACCCTGCATTTCCCACAGCTGATCCACTTAGCCTGCACATCCCCAGACACTTTGGGCACTTTAACATGGCCAATCCACCTAGGATGCACATCTTTGGACTCGGGAGGAAACCAGAGCACCCGCAGACATGGGGAGAATGTGCAAACTCCGCACAGACCATTGCCCAAGTGTAGAATCAAACCCAGATTCCTGGTGCTGTGAGGTAGCAGTGTTCACAACTGAGCCACCATTATCTTGTTCATCCTAATGTGATAACTGGCTTGTTGCTAATTGATCTGCTTAATTTTCTTTTTGAACTTTACAGTGATTGTATTTAACTGGCTAACTTACGAGGTGATTTTACAGACACAAGGATTCATCCACGTAGTCTGGGACTGGACTAGACCTGGCTGGATTTCTGGCTGTTTTTTTTGAGTGAAAGGACATGAGTAAACTAATTGGATTTTTACGACTTTTCTGGTGTGAGCCCACGTACATTTTTCTTAAAATTGCAGTTTCTTTGTACTCATGACTCGATACATTTCTCCAGTCACGGAACCATTCGGCTACTCTATTGGGAACAGTCACTTTTTGTTTAAATCTTTCAGTCAAATGATTCACTTCACAGTTAAGGACTTTTGGGCATTCTGCTGTTTATAATTGTTGCAGAGGCATAAGTAAAATAACCTATTTAATTCAGTTTAATAGATATGGGTGTAGATGTGATGAAACAAATTGTTATTAGTTTCAAACAATAATACAAACATACTTGTTGATCAGCACACGTATATAAGCATCAACTCGTGCATTTCATGGATGGTGTTGAATTAATTAAAATTAAGTTGCAAGGTTGAAGTGTTTCAGTAGACTCTAGTCTAAACTTGGCCTACCAATATAGAGCAACAATCAATACAATGTTGAACACAACCATATTATTGAATATAAGAAAATATACACACAGCAATCACACTACTGATCTTTAGTCAGACCTCATCCTGATTACTGTATCTAATTTGAATCACTGAGGTGAGTCTATGTAATTGAGTCAAAAACAACTAAAGTGAGAATTAAGTAGCTGTCTTCAGATAAGAGGGTTATATTAAAGAAATATTGCATAGCTGTAAACTTGAAAAAAGGTGTTTAGACCATGCAGCTTAATTTTTGCTAATCAACCTAAGACTCCAAAAAAATTAGTATTTGTTCCAGAATAATATACCTGAATTTCTATGTGACGTTAATGTGTCAATGTACTTAAAACAATTAATTACAGTTGAAGTCACTGTTGCAATACAGTAGAGTGCAGCAGCTATTCTGGGCAGTATCTCAATTAATTGTGAGACGAATGACTTGTTTTCCTTTTGTGTTATGAGGTAAAGAAGCTGTTAGTAAATCATTCCACGATCTTTCAGTCTAAGTGGACGTGAAATGTATAATTTACATCAGTTGAAGTGGTATGCATTTATCCAATCGTTGTGTAATCTATTCATTGCTTTTAAAAATCTGATTTATGTAAAGGCAGTTAATGTCATGATTAAAATCAGTTTTACTTTTAGTTCCTGTGTGAACATTAATGCTTTATTAATTTTTTTATTAAGACATTAATAACGACAAGTCCCAGACCAGACAACAAAAATGAACATCCTTGCATCTAGCGCAACTCTGTTATGCCAGCTGCTGCCTCATCTTCTCCTCAAACATTTATTTAAAGAAACAGAATTTATTTCCTTCATTGTTTTAAAAACCTCAATTATATGATCTTAAAGTCCAGACTTCTTTGTACTGCATTGGCTGTGCAATGTTTTGGGATGTCCTTGGGGGTTCTTGCCTGCCCACTGGGGAAAAGACGGGTTCCTCGGCCTATGAACGCCAAAACTAGCCATCATTATGATGGTCCTCATTTGGAAATATTTCATACACATGTATTCTCCAATATGTCAAGGTTTTCCTTTAAATGTTGCAACACTAATTTAAAGTTGCACTGCTTTAGCAATACAATGGGATGCCATGTTCATTCTCTCCATGGTTCCTTGGTATTGATTGTGAAGCAAAATCCTGCTTTTCCCCCTTGTTTACTCTCCCTCTGTTTCAGTGTCTCAAGCATGTAACCTTACACTGTTTTAACACTCCTAGACTTGTTTTAACCAAACACACCAGATTGTACTCAAATCGTTGAAAAAATAACTTAGAACTGGAAACTTGCATTATTTTGAAGCTATTTGCTTTTCTTAGTTTCTTGAGCTAAGCACTTTTTGAAATAATTAATTTCCTAGCAGTTCAAAGGGGCACGTGCACCAAGTCCGTATAATGTCCATTGGGTTTCAATCTTTCTTAGACCGATTAATTGCAATTCTCTGATTTTTGGCTGTATCTTATATGAAAGATGCAATTTTGATTTATGTGTAAGATTTCTGGAGTAATACCTGGTCTAATTTTATATACTTAATTTACATTTTGGTGATTCTCTTGATAGGAACTTGACCAGATGACTTCTGGAATGCCAGCTACTCCGAGACCTGGTCAAGGTAAGCCATTATTTTGCAAGAGTTGGCAGTTTATTCTTTTCTGCTAAGTCCACAAGTATAGTTTTCATATTATTAATAACATATATTACAGATTTATTTATCTAAATGGAATGCAAAGATAGGGAATAAAAGCAAGTTATTTGATTTTTTAAAAAATGAACATGATATTTTTACTTATAAAACAGCATGTCATCCATTGTTAGCAGTGATTTGTTTAACTAAATGTTCAACCACAAGAGATTATTGACTGCTCTGTCTCAGCTCATCTGTAGCTGAAACCATTACTAATACCCTTGTTACCTCTAGACATGTTCATTTCATAACCTCAAGCCTAGACAAAACTCTGCTGCTGTATCTGAACTTGCACCATGTTCTTTTCACTCATTAGCCCAAACACTCTGACCTGTATAGGAACCCAGTTTATTACTTCAGTTTTAAAGTTTTCATCTTTGTTTTCAAGTCCCTCATGGCTTTACCCTTGCTTATCCCTGTAACCTCCCACACTGCAATTCTCCAAAGTATAACCTCTTGTGTCTCTCCCTGATTTTAATTAGTCCATTATTGGCAGCCGTACTTTCAATTACCTGATTTCAGCATAGACATTCCCTCCCTCAACCTTTCCACCCATCTTATCTCCTTTTCTAAAATTTACCTCTTTGACTAAGCAATTGAATATTTGTCCTTGTAAACCCTTATGTGGCTCAGTCTCAGTTTCAGATATTGTTTAAAAGCATTCCTGTGAAATGTCATGGTGCATTTTGGTATATTAAGGGTGCTATATCTGAGTGGCAGTTGTTACAAGGAAAGTGTCATTGGATCCAATGATATTGGTAGTGCTTTGTATTTTTATTTGTATTCTTTTTAAACCTACTTCATGACGTGGCCTAGAGACTTTTGTCTTGTTGGTCAGGTTTTCTAGTTCACAGAAACTATACACACTGACATATGAATTAGGAGCAGGGGCATGCCATTGGATCGTTGCACCTGGTCCACCATTTAAATAACATCACAGTTGGTCTGAGCATGGCCCTCAATTTCACGTTTCTCCGTATCCCTGACAACCTTTGACTCTCGTTAGCCAAGAATCTAAGGAATCCCTGGACACTATGGGACAATTTAGCATGGCCAAACCACACAACCTGTACATCTTTGAACGGTGGGAGGAAACTGGAACACTTGGACAAAACCCATGCAGTGGAGGGCATGCAAACTCCACACAGTCACCCAATGCCAAGTCGTCTCTTATCAATATGGGATAAGAATCTAAACTAGTCTGTAGTACAGTGATGGCTGATACCCACTTCTCGCCCAGAGATGTAATTCCTCGTCAACACTTCTTAGCCTTTTGGAAAATGTGCCATTCAGCCTTGTTCTCTCATTGGAAAACCTGATTCTGTTGTCTCTTGACAACAATGCCTTTTGTCAGGGTGGTTTCAGCAAATCACCACCATGTGCAACTGATGTGTCACCATGAGCAATGGCAGGGAACTTTGAGCCATTGAGTGGATTGTGTTCTGGTATATTAATAAAATTTGGCTCAGTCTTTTAGATAGTGATCCTTGTTCTCAGGTTATCTTTAAGGAATGTTTCATTGTTTGAACAAACCTTTCTACCAGACATTTGTGGCTAGGTGAAAAGGAGCGAAATGCAGATGTTGAATTCTATGGTGTTTTCGATATAAAATATCTTGTGACATAAACTGTAGAACATTATCACTAACAAATTATTTCATGTAACCAAACATCACAATGATCTCCCCCAGTCTTTCAATGGTTTTTCTCTGAAGATGATGTCTTAATGCCGACTTCAGGCCATTTAGTATGTATGTCAGCACTGAGAAAATCTGCTCTTCAGAATGTCTGACCTAGTCAATATGGATTTTCTGCCATGGCTTTTCTGACCATTCCCACGAGTTTAATGATGCTCATGGAGGTAGGTTGCGAACTCTTGTGCAAGCTACTTGTATCCTTCTCAATTTCAGAGTCAAGCCCTGGCCACCAAAAACAGCTTTTGCTATTGCCTTCATTCTAACAATTCCAGACTGACCTTTATGTAGTCGATTTAACAAATGTTTTCATAGCTGTGGTGGAATGATAGCACTCATTCCTCATAGGAGGCATCCTGCTTCAACAGATAGCTTCTCTGTGAAATGTAGCTTCAATTTTGGAATTGTTTCTGTGATCTTGCCATGTAATGTCCATACAGTGAAGCATCCCATGCTAGTTGCAATAGTAACTTTTAGTCATAATGGATCAGGATTTCTGACTTTATTAAAACCTCTTTGGCTTATATAAGGACTCTTTCATATTTGACCTTTTCCAATTTTTATTTTGCCATACTAAATTGTGCAATGACTTGAGAATGGTTGCAAGATTTGGAGCAAACCTGCAGAATAATTCAGCAAGCCCAAAAATGATCAAAGATCAGCTGGAAGAACAACACTTCCTTTTCCGCTTGGAGACCTGCAGCCCTCCGGACTCAATATTGAGTTTAATAATTTTAGGGCCTGAGCAATCCCATATCCCATCTCCCTACCCCACAGAACAGGCCTTGTTATCACACAGTCTGCCATTACACACCACTACCTATTGTTAGTCACTAACAGTCTCCATTAACAGCTAGTCACCCTCCTAAACAGATTGATATCCACTCCTTTGTCTGTCCGACGTCTTCTCTCTCTTTGGGCTCTATCCCCACCTATCATTTACTTCTTAACGCCTGTTTCACCTGATCTTCTGCATATAAACCAACATTTTCCTAGCTACCATCTGTTCTGAGGAAGGGTCACTGGACGTGAAATGTTAACTCTGATTTCTCTTCACTGATGCTGCCAGATCTGCTGAGCTTTTGCAGCAACTTCTGTTTTTATGATTGTATTTGGTTCATGTTTTTAGGTGCTGATTCTTCATTTATGGCTTTTACTTTTGAAGGTCACTTAGGTAGTCCCTTAGCATGAATTACATGACCTAAATATTTGATGGAAAATTAAAAAAAAAATAGCATTTGTCTTTTTCCTCACTCTTGGGCCATAATCTCTGAGTCTTTGCAGAGTAGCATCTAAATTTTGGAGATGGTGTTGTTTGATTCTCCCTGTGACTAAAATATTATATGGGTAACACTGGAGTCCTTTCAATCTAATTCAAATGATTCGTGGTCTGATGTGATTCCAAGTGGAAGTCTCTTGTATTTGAATGGCCTTTGTGTTACAATTGTCATATATTTCTGTGACTCAGGATCTACATTTGTCTGGAGATAGGTTTGACTAAGGCCAATTTTACTGAAAAGCTAACATCTACCAGTCCAGAAAATAGGCCATTGATTAAAAGCAAAGAAACTGCTCAGCACACAGCACTGGATTAATAGTGACTTTAAAATAAATGCATGCTAATCCATTTTTCTTTATTCCTGGTATGATAGGCACGGCGCAGACATTCACATTTACACGTTGTTGACCAGCCTGTCTAATTCTGTCTGACCTTTGCTCTGATTACATAAAGCACTGATCTAGCCTTTCAATATTTTGCTTGATTCTCATCCTTCATTTTAAATTTGACTGAACTGTTTTCCATATTTCCCAGAACACCATTGAAAACAATGACATGTTTCTTTAGAATTTGTAATACATCAGTCTTGGAATCTGTCAAACAATTTACTTCTGCCCACCTGAGTTTGATTTTCTCCAACTATGTTCTTCACAATAAAGCTGGAAAGTTTCTTTTGACAGTGGGTAAGGACGAGTCTTCATTCCGACTGGATATTCATGTTGATACCACTCTGTACCTTCTTAGTACAATTTTTGAGGGTAACACAGTGTGACTCAGCTGCTTCTGATATACATTTTCAGATATCAATGAAAGCGCCGCTCAGGCGTTCACCTCTACTCTTACCGGTTTGCCATTCAGTTATGGAGTGACCCAGCACTGGTTGGAGCTTCCAGTCCAGAAATATTATATCAAATGCAACAGCAGTACTAAAACATTTACCACATTGTATGGTGTCATTGGTAGTGTGTATATCTGTTCCTGTTACCTCCTGGCTTTGCAATTATTTCTGGAATGTCATTTGCATCCTGGACCCGGAAGACAGATGCAAAATCTGCAATTTCCTTACTTTCTATTATTAATTCCTGTAGACTTAGTGTCAATAGGGCCAATGCTCACGTTACTTAGTCTTTTCCTTTCTAAATGCCTATAGAAACTTTCTGTCTGTTGTGATATTTATGCCTAGATTCCTTTCACATATTAATTTCTTCCTCCTTATTAATCTTTAAACATTCTTTGCTTTTCTTTATATTCTGCCCAGTCTTCTGACTGATTACTCATCTTTGCAGAACAATATGCTTTTCTTCCATTTGCTGTGATCTTTAACTTCCTTAGATTTGAATCAGTGAAGGTTATGGGGATAAAGCAAGAAAGTGGAGATGAAGCTTATCAAATTTGCTGGAAAAACTCAGCAGGTCTGGCAGCATCTGTGAAGGAGAAAACAGAGTTAACGTTTCGGGTCCGGTGAGTTCTGAGGAAGGGTCACCGGACCC